AATTTGTGCGTAAGCCGGAACTAGCGTCCAGATTCAGTCGCTGCTGAAACTGACCAGCGGCTGACTACAGGAAGTCCAAGGCAGAGTTGCTCTGCCCCGGGCTTCCTGGAATCAGCTGCTGATCAGTTTCAGCAGCAGCTGACTTGGGGACGCCTGGGGTTCTTAAGTTGAATCTGTATGTAAGTCAGAACTGGTGTCCAGATTCAGCCACTGTTGAAACTGATCAGTTTCAGCAGGGGCTGAATCTGGATGCCAGTTCCGACTTACATACAGATTCAACTTAAGAACAAACCTACAGTCCCTATCTTGTACGTAACCCGGGGACTGTCTGATTTTATGCTATCTTCTTAAAACCATTGTATTTTTTAAGTTGCTAAGTTCAAAAATTTTCAAGGAATTTTGCTTTTGTGGCATAGTTGTCATTCTGCCAGTTGTAATTTCTGCTAAGGGTTCGTGTCTATGTATCATATTTTCTTGACGCTTTTCCTCAAATTTTGAAAGAAGAAAAAATGTTAGTATTTGTATTGTGCTGTTGCATAGATAGCATGTTGTCTTCTCCAGTGGTGTCAGGGCTTGGTTGTGTGCTCCGGGCTGGCAACTTTTCCTAATGGTAATACTCCTGAGCAGTGAGGGGCAACCTAGATTAGTGAGTGGGCTGCATGGATGGTCCTCCTTCATCTCAGTGTGCTGCAAGATCGTTGTTACCAAAACCGTCTCCTAGAAAGGGTAGTTTTTCTAAATGTGCTTGCGTACCTAGAATTTATGGGGTGTGCTGATTGAACTGGAGCAGCACTTTGGATGCAGAGAGAGCACGTGGCTCTCACGATGTTGCGTACAATCTGCAAGCACCTCACTCCATGTGCACTTGCTTTAAGTGCATGTTACTTTTGTAATATTGATAGGGAAAAATGATGGATGAAAACCAGCAGAATTTGGCAACCCTGTGCGTGGGCTGTTGTGAACAAAATGTCTCATGGACCGCACATAGAATTCCAGTGGACTGCACCAACGCTGCTTTAGATTGCACTGAGATTCCAAGGGTTGATTTCTCTGGAAGTTGTTGTTGACAGTAATGTCTTCCAGTGGCAAGAGTTCAAAGGCTGCTTTATTTAATGCAGCGGTTCTTACCCTGCAGCCCAATGGCAGCTTATGATGAAGATGGCACACAGATATGGCCCAGCTGTGTGCTAAAACAATTTGAGGTTTGCTGCTCTTGTGTTCTGCAGAGGTAGAGGCTGAGGAAGAGATGGCTTCACAGAGCTCTGTGGGAGTGCTCCCTGCCAGCTGGGAAGAGAAAGTAACCCTCTGGTAGTGGAGGAGCTCCCATGCTGTAGGGCAGTGGTCCCCAACCTTTTTGTGGTCAATAGCACATTCATGTTTTCAGAAGTGTGTGGCAGGCGCCAGCAAAAAAAGGTGTCAAATGTGAAATTGAAGGCTATTTTCATATTAAATGTGAATTGGATAAATTTGATAGAAACTTAATTTAATTGGATAATTTTTGTTTTAATTATATTGTAATTATTTTTTAAAAAAATTCTACATTAATAAAAAGGGGGATGTCCAAATGTTGAGCAAAAAAAGCACCCTCTCCCTCCCCCCAAAACCCCATGGCACCTTTAAATCTCACACTCCCCATCCCCACCATGGCAGGGGGAAGAATGTCAATTTTGTGAGCCCCCTCCCAATTGGAGAAAAAATGGAAAAAAGGAGTCAAATGTGAAATTGAAGGCTATCTTCATATTAAATGTGAATTGGGTAAATTTGATAGAAACTTAATTTAATTGGATAATTTTTGTTTTAATTATATTGTAATTATTTTTTAAAAAAATTCTACATTAATAAAAAGGGGGATGTCCAAATGTTGAGCAAAAAAAGCACCCTCTCCCTCCCCCCAAAACCCCATGGCACCTTTAAATCTCACACTCCCCATCCCCACCATGGCAGGGGGAAGAATGTCAATTTTGTGAGCCCCCTCCCAATTGGAGAAAAAATGGAAAAAAGGAGTCAAATGTGAAATTGAAGGCTATCTTCATATTAAATGTGAATTGGGTAAATTTGATAGAAACTTAATTTAATTGGATAATTTTTATTTTAATTGTAATTCATTTTTAAACAAAATTCTGCATTAATAAAAAGTGGGGGATGTCCAAATGTGGAGCAAAAAAAGCACCCCTCCCCCACCCCACTCCCAAAAAATCATGGCACCTTTAAATTTCACACTCCCTTCCACATGGCAGAGGAAGACTGTCCCAAGTGGTTTCCATCTGAGAAACTGAAAATACCAGACATTTTACTGAGGGGAGGAGGGAGATTAGGCCAGGGGTTTGGATTGTGCCTCAGGGCGGGGCTCAAGCCTCCAAAACGCTGCGTCGGGCTCCCTAGTGGGCCCCAGGCTGCCGAGCCTGCTCTAAGCAGGGGTAAATGTGAGTAGTTTTAAAAACGCCGGCGCGGGCGCACATAAATGCCCCCGCAGACGCCATGGCGCCCGCGGGCACCATGTTGGGGACCACAGCTCTAGGGACACACTGTAGGGTTGCTAGGGTAGAAGGAGGTGCTGGCCCATCAGCCCATGCCATCTGTGGAACCAGTTTGGGGCATGCCCCTCCCCTTCCCCCTGGATTTCTACAATTGCTGTGAAGGGTTTGCTCTACTCAGCCTTTAAGGAATGGGAGGAAGTTTCTGTCCTTCCCATGCTGTGCCATCTTGCTTCACAACTCTCCACAACTGAGAGAACAATTCTGAGATACTGCCTCTTGGGTCATAGTTCTCATCTTCATCCTCTTCTGTATGTGCTCGGTCCTGTTTCTGGGCAATGGTGAGTGCCAGTATGGGGGTAGGATGAGGCAGTGGAGACGGGGATGGGGAAATGGGGCAGGATGGAGAGGGGCAGAGGACAGTGTGGAGAGGAAAGGGGATGGGATGGAGAGAGAGAGGTGGTGTGGGGGAAAAGAACAGGATAGGCCAGCCGTGGCCAACCCACGGCTCTTGCCCCCCAAAAGTGCAGCTCGTGAGGCCGCTCCTGCGCACCCCCCTCCCCAACGGCCCGCGCCGGCTCCCCTCCTCTTCATCCCCCTCTCCCCCCAAATCCCTGGCTTCCCTGTGCTTACTGGGTTGGAGCTGCAGGATTTTAAAAATGGTGCCCAAGATGGCGGTTGTTTTAAAGGGGCAGCCTCCTTTAAAAAAAAATTAATTTTTTTTTTGTTTTTGCTCAACAATTCTGTTCTGGGGGGCTTTTTTTTTGCTTCACAATTCATATTTTTTCCACTGCTGTTTTGACTATCTTTGTTAAATGGGTTGGCCACCTCTGGGATAGGAAATGGGAGAGTGGAATGGAGCAGGGAACTGCAGTGGGGAGGAAAGGGTATAGTGCTGTGGGGCACGGGGAAGAGAAAGGAAAGCCTGTGAGTGCTGCCACTGGAGGGGAGCGCTGCTTCCTTGCTTCTTGGTGTCTGTGGCAGAAGCATCCAGAGAAATGGAGGGGGCACATCTGCTCCACTAGTCACAGCTGTGCATCGCTTCTGTAGGGACATGTAGGCTGCAGTGCAACATGGTTTGCCTGCAGCAAATAGTGCCCACCTGCCTGTCCTCTGCTGACCATGTACAGACCTGGAGCTCATAGAGCAGGAGGCTGACCTGTAAGTCCCATCTCTGTTTGGGGGGGACCTATCCTATAGGTGGGCTTTTCAGCTAGTGTCCCCCATGGCTTGGTGGATGGAGTCACTCTTGCCTCTGTCTTGCTACCCTTGAGGGACATATACACAACTGGGCAGCCACAGCAGACAGTGGTGTATATGTTGCGTGAATGTGTCCCACTTAATAGCTTGTGGGCCCCACAATCACCTCTCTGTGGTAACTAGGTTGAGAGCCACTGGTCTGATAGCTATTCTTCAGGGTAATTTGTTGCTAACTGATAGAGACTGGATAGGGGAACCTGGGCCAACTCTACTCCACTAGGTTCTGACTTCAAAACAGGCAGGGCCTGATGCCTCTAAGTACACTTTCTGAGTCAATTCCTAGCCTTATTTCAGTCCCGCTGATATTATCACAAGTTGGAGTTGGCGTCCTGTCTGTTTTCTGATCTGTCTCCA